AGTACTTGAGTGCTTAATATTAATTAGTACTAAATATTAAGTGTTTATAGATTCTAACCACTTAGAATCTATTCTTGTTTATATCCAACTCTGTAGCCCCATTTGGGATTTTCTTGGCAAAGAAACCAGAGAGGTTAATAAGTGTCTGAGGCCGGACTTGAACTCAGGTCTTCCTGACTCCAGGTCTGGCGCTCTGTCCACTGTGCCAACTAGCTGCCCTCCTTAGGATCTATATCTACGACCAAAGACAAATCACTTTGCTTCCTGAAATTCCAGTTTCTTCATCTGTCAGGTGAAAAGGTTGGACTAGATGAGCTCTAAGAGGCCTTCTGGATTCATACCATGACCCTAAAAGAAAATACATTTAAATGTTCCTAGACCAAACAGGAGATAGAGAACATTATAAAAAGCAAAATAGATAATTTTGATTACATTAAATTGAAAAGTTTTTGCACAAAGCCAGTGCAACTAAGATTAGAAGGAAGGTAGAAAATTGGGAAAGAGTTTTTACAACCAGTCTCTCTGATAAAGGCCTCATTTCTAATATATATAGAGAATTAAGACAAATTTATAAGAACACAAGCCATTCCCCAATTGATAAATGGTCAAAGGATATGAACAGTTCTCAGATGAAGAAATTAAAGCCATCTATAATCATATGAAAAAATGCTCTAAATCATTACTGATTAGAGAAATGCAAATCAAAACAACTCTGAGGTTATCACATCACGCCTATCAGATTGCCCAACATGACAAAACAGGAAAATGATAAATGTTGGAGAAGATGTGGGAAAATTGGAACACTAATCCACTGTTGGTGGAGTTGTGAAATGATCCAACCATTTTGGAGAACAATTTGGAACTATGCCCAAAGGGCTACAAAAATGTGCATACCCTTTGATCCAGCAATAGCACTTCTAGGGCTATATCCCAAAGAGATCAAACAAATGGGAAAAGGACCCACATGTACAAAAAGTATTCATAGCAGCTCTTTTTCTGGTGGCAAAGAATTGGAAATTGAGAGGATGCCCATCAATTGGGGAATGGCCGAGCAAGTTGCGGTATATGAATGTAATGGAATACTACTGTGCTATAAGAAATGATGAACAGGCTGACTTCAGAAAAACCTGGAAAGATTTATATAGTCTGATGCTGAGTGAAGTGAGCAGAACCAAGAGGACTTTGTACACAATAACAGCCACATTATGCAATGATTGATACTGTTAAACTCAACCCTTCTCAGCATTACAAGGATCTAAGACATCTCCAGAGGCCTTGGGATGGAAAATGCTGTCCACATCCAAAGAAAGAACTATGGAAGTCAAATCGGTATCACTTATTTTTACCTTCTGTTGAGTTTTGTTTCATCTTTCTGATGGTTCCTCCTATTGGTTTTAATTTTTATTTACAACTTCACTAATGTGAAAATATGTTTAATAGGAATGTAAATGTAAAGCTTGTATCAGATTGTGAGCCATCTTGGGGAGGGGAGGGGGGAGGAGGGGGGAGAAAAATTTTCAACTCAAAAGCATACGGAAGTGATTGTTGATAAATCAAAATAAATTAATAAAATTTCCCCAAAAAATAAATAAATAAATGTTCCTAAACAAAAATTCAGGTGTGGTGTGCTTTTTTTTTAAGTAAACTATTTCACAATTAAAAACTAAGAAGGAGTTAAAAAAGAGAACCATGCTAACAAAGGTTTGAAAGCAACTCACTGGACTAAAATAAATCTAAAAACTTGGGAATGGCTCAATATATCACAAGTCAATGGGATATTTCACAAACAGTTGTTAAGCAGGCTTAGGTTCCCTAGATTTTGAACTTCATCTGTATCTAGCAAAGCAATATTTCTTAGAGATGTAGAAATGTACATCAAAACTGCCCCTTCCCAAAAGTAAAATACTAAATTCTTACTTAAGATGCAAAGTTGATTTTTGAAAGAAGTTACCCTGTGAGTTTTGCTTCACCAAAGGAAAAAGGAACTGCAGTTGCTATCTATAAAACCTTCTCTAAGGCCCAACTTGGTGCTACCTTTGAGGCTCTTAGAACATGAGTGGCATTATTAAATAAATATTAAATGGCTATTAAATAGAAAATATTTTGTGGACTCATGGACCTCCACTTGGGTTTAAATCTCAAATTCTTCTTTTCCTTCATTTGGTACCAGCTGCTTCTCCAGGTACAATGACTTAAGTATAAAGACCTTTTTTTTCATATATAGCAAAATTAATTAACCCCACTAAGGTTTCAAAAATTCTACAGGGATTATTAACCACGTAGCCCATTACTAATTGTCATGTTCAATTCCTTTACGCAAATGCTTCCTCATCAAGCCTTTGTACAGGTTTTCTTTATCCCAAAGTGCATGATCTTATTCCTACAAAAGCTATGATGATTTCATTAGTTTTAAATATGAAACTATGTCCCTTCAACTAAACTTCTCCCTCCCATTCAGAGATACAGGGTTGGGGGGGAGGAGAGAAAAGGAGTTGCTCTTTTTGCTCTGGGTACGAAGACATTTTCTGATCCTTCCAAGATAGTCGCGTCATGGCTCCAGTTAAACTGGGAACAGCGGATGTTAAATCAAAGGGCTCAGTTCTCAAGAGAAAAGAAAAGCACATGAGCACATCTTATACTAGTCACTAACAACATTTCTGGCACGTGGCCATCCATACACTTGAATTTAGTTCAGACTGGACCTAAATTCAACAAGATCCCCATAGAAGAAAAGGGAACTAATTCTGGAATTTTAAAGAAAGGAAGAGAATTCCAAAATGAGGAACTGTTACTTTCCTTACCCACAGAAAATACCATCTGTACTGAATTTTATAAAGGCATAATTTTTCAAACTGAACAGATCCTTAGCAGTATCCCTATCCAGGCAGGGATTAAGAAATGTTATCTATATGAAAGCACATGGTGTCTAAGATAGCCAATCTGGCAGCAGCATGGCCAACTGGACTCACTGATTAAACTGAGGAGGTTAATGACAGTAAAACTTTATCTAGAAGAGTTCCAACATTGAACTCAGGGATTTAAACATTGAAACCAGGCACATTTGATATTCACTTAAATTTTAAACATCATACATTTTTTTCTCTGTTCATGTATATTGTAGGTATACATAGAAGAAGGGAGGGTGGAATATTCATGTATACACATACAGAAGGTCCCAGATACTTATAAAAAACCGACAGCTGTGTCTCTCCTGAATATGACCTGGAGAAATGAGAAGAAAAGAAAACCCGTCCTATCTTGGCGGGCAAGGCGGGAATGGGTAGAACCTGGCTCTCCTACCCCAAGGTACTTCAAATGCTGCTCCTCTCTCATCTCCTAAATCTACCACCCCATCCCCACCATGGGGTCCTAGCACTGTTCCTACTTATTCCTTCCCAGGTTCAACCCGAATATCCTCACTCCCTTTCCTGTACTACACTTCATTCTTCTTTACTCCACCCCCAACCCCTGTAATGTCTTCATTATGGCACCCACACCAATGAAAGGCTTTGCTATTAGCAAGGGATTCCCAAATTTGCTTGGGTAGCTGATGTGTCAAGAGGGATAAGTTGTATTCACATGCTCTCAATAAGAATTTCTTAATAAATAGTTAAAGGAGGCAGTACAGTGCAGTGGACAGAGCATTGAATTTAAAACTAAGAAGAATTGGGTTCTAAGTCTACTTCAGAAGCTTACAAGCTAGCAAATCACTTTACCCCTTATGGGCCTGTTTCCTCAACTGTAAAGTGAAGGAGTTGGACTCTTGACCTTTAAGGTCCCTTCCAGCTCTAAATCTAAGAATGAAGTTAGGTTTTAATTTATAATACTATATTCCAATAGACTAAACCAGGGGTGAGGAACTTGGGGCCTCAAGGCCTCATGTGGCCCTCCAGGTCGTCAAGTGCAGCCCTTTGACTGAATCCAAACTTCACGGAACAAAGCCTTTTATTATTCCTTATGAAAACCATGCAGTCCAGCAAGGTTTAGTCACTAAACTAATCATCATCATCGTTATTCTTAAAGATAAAAGGTATTAACATATAGTCATTATTAATATTTTTAAGATTTATAGTTCACAAATCCCTTCATGCATTATTTTATTTGCTCCTCAAAGTGACTCTGTTTCAATAATTATATATTTCCTCATTTCAAAAAATGGGGAAACTGGACAAAATGGGCTAGCCTGCAAACTTAATCATCATTTATAACATTGTTACTATGGAAAAATGTGTTGTAAGTGCCAAACCAATTTACAGATTAACTTTTTTTTAACAGTTCTTTTTATAAACTGAAGTCAGCCTGTATAGGAATTAACAAGTGAATTCTTAGAATCACATCAAAAGAACAAAGAGAGCTATTAATAAATCTAGTATGTGCGGTGACTTCATTTAATGTCAACTAAACATACTTCCAGAAATTTACAGCCATGGGAAAAAAGTACAAATAAAGCAATTGTCAATGTGTCATATTAAATCCAATTGGAGAGATTCTCTTATTATTGAAATGCTCATATGTTGGTTCTATTGAAAGATTCTGAAAATGTTTAAAACATAAATTCACTTTACAGAGGAGACTGCCACTATGAAAGCCTGATCCCTTGTTATAAAAGCTTTCTTTCTCCAAGTCAACTGACTGAACTTTTTTAAAACAGAGAAGGAAGGATTACAAACAAAAGCATTACTCTAGATGACAAGTTCCTTTTTTTTTTCCTTTTGGAACACAGCAAAGAAGGGGTGGAGTGGGATGGGAGGACAGCTAGAGCTTAAACATACTCATTCACCACACACCTACTCAACCTTCCCAGCAACAGGTAGGATTTCAAGAGTGTACACAGATAACCAGTTCCCTGTAACTACTTCAAGAAAAAACTTCCCTATGAAAATCATACAGTCCAGAAAAGTATTCCTTTAAAACACCCTGGAACTATCTTACTAGTTCTCTCTGAAACAGAGATTATTATTGTGTGTTCTTTAAAAAAATCACTGAAAACACATTCTTACCATTCTGATTGGACTCTGTTGATTCTGACACTTTTCTCAGTGGTATTATAACTGCGTCTCCTGGCACTCTGGGACTCTCCACGTACTTGGGCTTCCTGATTGGACCTGCAAGTAGGAAAGATCCAAGGGTGTGTAATTTTTTCCAGATGCAAAGAAAGCTTCAGAATGTACAGTATGTGTCCTCACCAAGCTCCAAATAAGTCTAAAGGAAATGCTACTCCCCCCCCCGACCCCCAAACAGACACATGCACCCACCCACACCCACGCCAAACCACTTCAGTTAGAATTGGGGAATGTCCAGTCAGGGCTGCCAAAGAAGAAACCACATTAGTTCAGTTTGGGAATGTAAACTCTGGTGGTAAACATAAGCCACTAATTTTCTGTGTGACATTCCTAAAGCTGCCTTCAGTGCATGTAAAGTGGGTGATTCTGACATGTTCAAATCTGGACAACTTGTATTTAGGGCTCCTCTTTATTCTGAGCTTTTTCCCCTGAATGAAGATAATCTGGCTGCTGGGTATCTATGAAGTAAGAGATGGAGATTGCAAGCAGACAGCTTGGAACATTAACACACTGCAAATACTTCAGCACAGCAGCCGTTTTTTATCGCTGGGCATTTTATCCCGATGGTGACTCAAAGCCTAATTGTGAGGGGCAGGAGAAAAGTGATCTTCTTGGAAGTTAACTGCATTTGCCCTGAAAAAGAAACAGCCACTTTCCCTGATTCTGATTTGGTATGACAAAAAAAAAGGTACGTTTCATTGCCCTTACTCCACTCCCTTTTCTTTTTGTTTAAAAAAAAAAACTTTATTAAAGACCCAATATCCCAACTGTGCCTTCCAAGTTACAGGAATTGTCCAAAGCTTCAAAAAAAAAACCTGTTGCAATAAGAAGTCCAGAAAAAGTACTCAACTACAGATGTACAACAGAAAGAAACAGTTTAAACAAGGAGAAACAGCAACACCATGTAATATAGAAAGCAATGGCCTCTGACTTAAGGAACATGGTAGCTACTAACTAGCTATATGGCATTAAATAAGTTATTTCAAATTCTCCGAACCTCAGTTGACTCATCTGTACAATGAACGGGTGATCTTTGAGGTCTCAACTAACAAAAACATTCTATTAGATTGAGAATTTTGAAACTCCCTAAAAAGTGGTTAACAGTGAGTGATACTGCCATCTAAAGGCTTACTACAAAAAAAAACCCTTTCTATATTTATATTATAAAATAAACATATTAATCGATGCATTTTGTTATACTGCTATTTTTAAATGGGCTAACAGTAAAGAAAACAGTGCCCTTAGAAGTTTATTAATATTTTTTACAGTTGCCACAACCAAGAAAGCCAAATTAAGCCTGTTTTTAACAAGGACTAAAAATTGAAGGATCCCAGATCCAATTTGACTTTTTATTCGGTTTGGTTTTTTTGTTGTTGTTCTGTTTTTATAAATAAGGTAAGGGGATGGGGTATTATTTCATTGGGGCAAGGAAGAAAGATACTAGAACTAGTCTTAAGGAAGGATACCTACACCAGCTAGGAACAAACAAGTATATCTTTTGGCTTCATTCCCTGTGGGGAAATTCATCTTTGCCAACCTCATTTACTCAAAGTAAGGCAAAAAAAGATTCTGCCAGAGGAGATCCATGGCCCTAGATGTCTCCTAGTACCCTCATAGAAAACCACACAACAAGGACAACTTTCTACCTAATCCAAATGTAAGAGTTATAGAGTCACAGAAAACCACACAAAAGGTAGTATGTATATTTAAAATACGATAGCTATGGAGAGCTGCAGAAGACCGCTATTGTTCCTGAATTCATTCCAATCCACTTCTTTCTGCTCCACTCTAGTGAGAGGAGGGGGATGGAGACAAGAGTTTTTAAAAAGCACCCCTCTAGCCTGGCAATGTAGAAACAGTCTTTACTCTTTTTTTTTTTAAGAAGCTTCTATCATATAAAACTTTCCAGATGCCAACTCTTTCATTACCCAAAAATGCAGCACATCTGGGTCCAAAATGGTGCCAAAAGGCTGGACAGGACAAAGAAAGCTTCCCACCCAGCGTTCTGCTACTCATTGGCACCTGAATTACCCCAAGGGTAGGAATGTGCAAAGGCAGACTAATATTAGTAAGCAAATATAAATATCTTCCACTCAAATTGTTCCTTTTATTTAAGCCAAATCTCACACACAGCTGTGCCTAAAATACCGTAAAATGGAATCAATTTATAAAAATCTCAAGGATTTTGTTCTATTTTTCTCTTTCTACCTTTCTTTAAATATCTGAACAGATTCTAAAGTTAGCTGACTGCAACAGTATTTTAACAAATTCTGCACCATAAAGAAAGCTTACAGTACCAAACATTTTTTTAAAAATTATCTTAAGATAGTAACAGTTTTCACAAGAATTACAAACCACTAGCCACTGTGTGAAAGAACACTCTAAAATATTAATAAGAGAAATGCAAATTTAAAACAACCTTGAGATTCTAACCCTCACCATGCAGATTGGCAAAGTGACAAAGATGGGAATAATCAATGTTAGAGGAGTTGCAGGAAGATAGGGACACTGATACATTGTTTTTGGAGCTGTGAACAGCACAACCATTTTGGAAAGCAAGTTTAAATCATGCAAATAAAGTGACAAATATGACCCAAAAGTTCCACTACTAGACTTACACCCCTAAGAAAGGCTACTGATAAAAAGAAAGTACCCATATGCACCACAATATTTATAGCAGCACTTTTTATGGTTAACAAAGAATTCAAAGCAAGGTGGATGACAACTGACTAGAGAATGGCTAAACAAACTGTGGTACATGAATGTGACAGAGCACTTTTCTTGTGTTGTAAGAAATGGCAAATGAATATTGAGAATTATTGGAAGATCTACATGAACTGATGCAGAGTGAAGTAAGCAAAATCAAGAAAACAATATACATATACACTACAATATAAATGGAAAGAAACATAAAACAATCAAAAGTAAATGTTGCAACATTACAAAGAAAAAGCATTACCCCCAAAGAAAGGATAAGAGAAGACAGCCACACTCTAACTCCTTTTAAAAGGCAGGAGAGATCAATGGCTATGAAATACTGACTATATATTATAAGCATCTTCAAAGTACTGATTGGTTTGCTTAATTTTTTGTCTCTTCCTCCTTTTTCTTTTAAAAATATCATTTGTTATATGAAATGGCTCTCTGTGAATGGGAAAAGGTAGGAGAAACTACTGGTGTGAAAAAAAAAAGGATCAATAAAAATTTATTTTGAAAAATCACTTTGGGTCCCTATCTTATTCAGTGGGACCCCAGGGCAAACTTACAGGAGTACACGGACAAGAATCACCTAAAACTGGCAAGCATGGATGGATAGTCTGGGATAAGCACCAATGGAAGGCTATACTTAACCATATCAATGAATCAGATTCATTCATTGGCATATTTAACTGGGTACAGGATATTGTTTTCTTTTTATTATATGTTCAGTTAACTACCCTTGCCTGATTTGACCCGCAAAAGGTTCCCCACCCCTGACCGAACAAGTACTAGCACTTATGTTAACTTCTTTCAACCCATTTCCTTGTTAGAAAAAAATAGATTTAAATACAATGTACTACTAGCCTCGCAGAGTTGTGAATAAAATGCTTTGTAAACTGCAAAGCACAATAAATAAATGTGATCTTTTTTTTCCCTCTAGTACATAGCCCAGTACATTGCTCTTTGTAGATGTTTAATAAATGTTCACTGAATTGGACGACTGAAACATTTCATATGCATAGGCTCTACTGCTAGAAAGAGCCTTTGTAGTCACCTAAGCTCCTCATTTTACAGAGCCAGGATTAGAGGAGAGGATTGCTGGCTTCATTCAGAGCTCTTGCCATTATATCATGCTCCCTATATGTTCTAAAAAAGAGGTGTCAAACACACAGCACCTTACAACACTCCCAAGTATACCCAAACCAGAATGAAATGTAATTGGGAAATATTTTTAAATAAATATACTTTAAAATAAATAAAAATACGATGAAACCTAGATAATAATAATATATAGTTTCCTAGGTCAGTATGGGGTCTGCAGCATTCTTATGAACTGTTTAATGCACACCCCCCCCATTTCTTCCTGATTTTGACACCACTGATTTTAAAGATGATAAATGAAATAATCAGACCACTAAAATTTAACTTTGGGCAAATCACTTGATTTCTCAGTGCCTCAGTTTCCAAATCAACAAAAATGAGGGAGCTGAACTAGTAAGCTACTAACCTTAAGGGAACTTACAAATCCAAAATCTATCAGCCTATGGTATCTGAAAAGAGCTTTAAAACACAGTTGCCAAGTCGCTGCCAGAACGTATATATCTGGCTTTGCCTAATAAAACATATCTTTGCTTTCAAAACAGTGAAGGTGGTAGGTACAGAAATATTTTATTACCACCCCTAGGCTCTTTGTTGAAAGGTTCCCTCATAGAGAGAACACTCTCTGGAATAGCTAGGAGTTTCCTGTTATACCACCTTTCATTCAAGTTGAACTAAGCAAGACTCATGTTATACTCTTCATCTACGTGCTATTCTTTCTCAACACTGCTCTGAGAATGCATGAAAGCTTAGCCAGTGTGCGTCTGTCTGTCTGAGTGTGTGTGTGTGTGTGTGTGTGTGTTGTCTCTCTCTCTCTCTCTCCCCTACATAATTGTCTCAATGCCCCCACTCACAAAACCATCCCTGGTACCAATAAGTACAGTTAAGACAAACAATTCAACAAACTAATCATATAAACTCCTTGAGGCCAGTGACTGTCATACCTGCTTGAGTAGAGCATGATATCTGGCACATAGTAGGACTTAATCAAAGCTTTTTCTTTCTTTCATTCATTCATTCATTCATTCATTCATTCATTCATATATGAAACTGTATGCCTCATTCCACACCCAAGTTAACCACCTCTCTATGAAGCACCAGATCCCAGACATTCTTCCTGCCTTCCCGTAGGGGAGAAATGAGAACTCCTATGGGGACAATCACCTATAGTCCTCAGATATTTGGGCAGCTAGGTGGCGAAACGGATAGAGCACCAAACCTGGAGTCAGGAAGACGCAAGTTCA